TAAAAGGTCAATTTCTTCCTCTTGTTATCTCCTTGTTTCCCGAGGCAACGGTGACTCGCCGGTGAAGAAGCGGCGAATCTCCGACAGACGCAGGAAAGGTAAAGCAGCCATCGCTTTGACTAGCAGACGTAAAGCAGACGACGTTAACTGCGCCAACCCGCCAACGCCGTTAAAGAGTGAGGGGTCTCGCCGCACACGAATGGAGGAAAAACGTATTTGGGAGGGAACTTGCGGACACTAACACGCTCACTCTTGGTTCTAAGCAAACAAACCTCGTCGCCCCGGGACACTTCGCCAGTGAGTCCTTTGACTTCTCTCCTTGATGCGCGTCTGCTAGTTGTTAGACAAAAACAACGTGCCGCTCGAGTTATTTCGTCTGCCCTCCCTTAAAGGCGAAGTCGAGTTCGCTCCGAAAGTCGCAGGAAAGGTATGACAGACGCAGACGATGTTGCGAGCAGACGACGTTGCAAAGGAGCAGACGACGCTGAGATAGGGGGTCGCGATTAGCCAATCAGGGCTCGGCGTTCTGACGTCACCACTACTTCCTTTCTCATGCGCAGAAGACGAAAATGAGCCCACTTGCGAGGCGTATAGCAGGGCTCGCAGCCCGCTCGGCCTTCGCAGGAAACGAACGAAGAGCGCGAACGTCAAGCAGCCCGCGACGCAGGCAGTTCGACGTGCTTGGAGGATTATTTCCGTCGAGATAGTCTCCAAAAAGCCTTCCAGGCTGTGTTCCGGGTCTTCGAAAAAACTAGCTGATAGGGTCGGGTCCGGGGTGTGGCGACGGAATAAGCACGTTCGTTCATTTGCTATGAAGCTGTGCAAAAGAGGAGCTCTCTTCTACATGTTCCCCAAAACACGCCGGATTCCGTCCAATCGTCGTGAGGTGACTATCGGCGATCGTCGGCACTGTATATTGGATATGCCGTGTTATTCGAGACCTTTCTCAAGTCCTGTTCGGATAACGCGGCACCGTGGGGTACGCACAATATATTTCGATTGATGATACCGGTTGAATTTCATGTTGTAGGCGGGGAATATCCATGCAGTTCGGATATCCTGTGTGGTCAAATATTTTCGACGGCTAAGACCTTCGTAAATTAACACAGCTGAGTGTACGGTGCCGTAAAAAAATCAACATAAAATTACACAAATTTTCCAGTTGCATTTTTTCTGTCGCGCACGGACTCACAAAAACAGCTTTCATTTCTTCGTTTTTGTTCTCCAAAAATAGTACCATGCATTTTTAAAAACCCCGAGAAATTCTATTCGCCATAGAACGCGGCAATTTAGCCTCCACCAGCGTCCGGAAGTGCGCCTACGCAGGCTGCCACAGCCCACTGACTAGAAAACCCACAGCTCAGCGCAGTCGGGCAACACTGACGTACCCTCTCAAAACCAGGGACGCCCGCTGTAAGTCGCTTGTTCGAGACTGCCGCTGGAAAGGTCTATACCCAGAGTTTTCTCTGAGCCAACGGAGAATTCAGTGAAAGATTTTGGGAAAGACTGAGAAAATACGTGCACCCGAAACTAACGCTTGTCGATTGTTCGTCGCCACTATCTTCCCCCACTTTTCTCTCTCGCCCTCTTCTTGCCAATTTTCCCGACGCATCGCAAGATGCCACTGGCATGTCCTCTGCCTGCCTTCCCCCTCTCTCGCGCGCCGCTAACGCCGGCTTCTTTTTTTTTTTTTTTTTTTTTTTTGCCAACACGTAGGTGCGGGCTGGACTTGAACGCTTTTGGGACCGTCATCTGGGCCATTCAGGGGTTGGAACTGTTGACAGTATCTACCGGATTTCTTCATTGCCGAGCATTTTATTTTTTGGAGTAGTGTTCAAAAATGCGCAAGTGTGCAGTGAAATTGTGCTCCGATATAGTGTGTGCCGGCGTGCGATTTTTTTGGGGTACGTTATCAGTGCCAAAGAAAGCAAGATCTGTTTTGACAGTCACGTAACAAGACTGCGCACCGATCTACGGAAAGCGCTAAGGTGCTGATGTACTGAAAGTTGGTGTTGTGGATGAACTGTGATGTTGATGCGAATTTTCTGGTTGTGCGCAAGCGAGCATGGGTAACAAAACACGAAAAGAAATTTCCGAACCCTAAAACAATGCCAGGGGGTCGCGGACCCCAGAAAATGATGCACGCCTGAAATCACCTGGATAGGGGATAGTGTGGCGACACGCCTGTGGCGCGTCCCAGGACCCAAGCAAGACGACAATGCGCGTGCAAAAAACAAGAATGGCACGATTCGATCCGTTCTAGACGCCATGGGCTTCACTTCCATTGGCTTGACTTCGCAAATTAAAACCATAACAATATTTTAAACAAACAAAAAGTATAACAAGCACATGTAAAAGGAATGATATTCCCAATATTCCTTCATATTATTTCTTTTCTTTCAGTGTACATTGAGTTCTGTATATGCCCTCCCTAGCGTAATACCATGTACAATTAGTAGTATCTTGAAATAAATAAATGAATGTATAAATAAATAAATTTCTCAAGCTCTCAAAAATTAAGTTTTGCTTGCGGATCTTGAGCACTGTCACCTTGACCATAGCTGAAATTAATCTTTTAACAATGAACGCGTATTATACGTGATTCTGCCACTGTAGATGGAGCTGGGAAAGCTGAAAAAAAAAAACACAAAACAAAGGTGGTGGCATGACATCACCAGTGCGTCAATGACAGGACAAAAATGGAACGTAATTTAAATATGTCCTCAACGTTCAACAAAACGTGAGTGGTCGACGTTGCCAGTACGTCCTGTATGACGTTTACGACAGTTAAGTGTGAACGTGACGTCGCTGAAACGTCCCAAACGGGACAATATTGTAACGTCACTTTAGACTTTATTTTAGTGTTGAAGGAACGTGAGTGTTCGACGCTGCTAAAACGTCTTGGCTTGACGTCGTGGCGACGATGATCACGTTGAAGTTGAAACATGACGTCGCCAGCACGTCACGGAGAAAACGATAATGGATCGTCATTTATGAACTTCATTTCAACGTCAAAGAAACTTGAGGGTTGGACGTTGCTCTACGTCGTGCATGGACATCGTGGGAACGTTGACGACGTTTGAGTCGTAATACAACGTCGTTACAACGTCACTGATTGGACTCTAATGGAACGTTATATAAGAACGTCACCTCAACATCGAAAAAACGTGATCGAAGTGGCGCGGGACGTCACGGACGTCAGGGACTTTTTCTCGACGTTTCCACGACGTTTTGTGCTGCCTGGGACGTATAACACCTAAAAAGACACGACGGCTCCTTGAAATTGCGGATTATTCTCGAAAACAAACCTAAAAGTAGCAAGCGTGAACTGACCAAATTTGACAAATGTGCGTTAAAACTAAGGTGCATTTTCTAATCCACAAGAAAACACGTTTTTTTCGTAATTAAAAAAGTTACAAGCTTGCTTTATTTTTTTCTATTTAAACACGAGTTTTACATATCACACCATATTAAACGGGCAGATATATTTTTCAAAAGTTCGCAATCAGCATCTTAATTTATCGGTCTGTAGATTTTAATGTCGTCCGCGAACTGGTGCAATTTGGATGTTTTTATACACGAATAAAAGTAATTAGCAAAAATATCAAACAGCAAAGGTTCCAGAGTTCAACCCTGCGGAACACAAGAAAGACATGTATTATCTCGATTACAAACCGCTAACACAACTCTGTTAATTCGCCCAGACAGAATTTCATTTCATTTCATTTATTTACCTTGAGGACCCGTGTCCGGGTATTACAGAAGGGAGAGTAAGTAAGAAGACATTTTTTTAAACACAAAAGTAAAAATCCCCCCCCCCCCCCCCCGCCCCAAGAAACATGGTACAAATGTTAAATGGTGATAACAAGTTAACAAATCACTATACAATTTTAGAACTCGTTCATTTGATTCAAGAAAACACTGACAAGTTCACAAAACTTAGATGTGTTAATTTTTAATACAATGACGTGGGGTAGTGAAATCCAATCATCAATAGCAAGAGGTAGCCTGCAATTTAGAAAAAACAAGGATGAAGTGCGGATGAATTTGATTTTACACACATTGTCTACCCTAGCGAAACTTCAATCTGGGACGCTGAGAGGTGCCATTTTCATCTGCAGATTGTGATAATATTGTCACTAATGAAGAGGTGATGAAACAAAAAGTAACTGAGGAAACTGAAACGTTTAATGGAGCGAACTTCTGCCCAAAACAAAAAGAAAATAGAAGATAACACTAGAACGTCGCGTTACATTCGCTGGGTAATTCGCAATTGTAATCCAGTACATTTTTCAAGTAATGCGCACAAAATCTGGGCATGCCTTAGCATCACCCAAATAGGGCTAGTCAGCCGAAATATTTTACATTGGCAAACGCCATGGTCCGAAACCTAACTAGGCCCAAGTTAGGCCCTTACGTTTGCCACTGTTTTGCCACACTTTTGACCAAGTTGGGCGTGTCTGTGGCGTGATACTGGGGGAGAATTTAAATATGTTAGTTTTAGGAAAAGTGAGAATAAGTTTTCTGGAGTTGTCAATGCGCAAGAAAAGATGGCTGACAGCTTGACAATGTATTTTTTTTATGGATATTGATAGAAGAGGTTATGCAGAGAGGACAATCTAGGCGCTGAAGCGATCTGCAAAAAGGATAAATATTAATTAGTGCGGATACGCTCGCGCCCGCTTATTTCCATTCTTTCTCTCAAGGATAAAATCTGCGAAGAAGTAACGTTATGAATGCAACAGCCTCGTCTACACCCCATACGAACAGAGCGAGTGCAACGCAGTAACTCACGTATACCAGTCAAAGTACGAGCACGCGGCATGCGTCACTTGAACAAATTGCTTCGGTTCCACAAAATATTTCGCAACCATACGCATATTCCAAAGTACATCGTGCTGACCGCGGCACGGACAAAGGGCAAAAGTTATATTGCGATCATATTGCAACTCTGTTTTTGTTTTACTTTTTTTTTTTAGACTTCATTTTTTGAGCCTAACAGATGAACCGTCTCCCGCAACTTACACGGCTTGCCACACGAGGACGTCTCGATAAGGTAGTCTTAAAAGTGTGGGAAATTTGCTCAACACCCCAAGGTGTGAAAACGTTCATCAGCCTCCTAATTCTCGCTACGTAGTGGTGACGTCAAGAGTCATATAACGAGCAAGATCGAAGCAAAGCAAACAAAGCTATCTAAGATTCGTGCGCGTCGTCAGCCGTTATCTCGCGAAACAGAAAAGGTCGGGTGCGTCTTCGAGGGACATAAAACCATCTGGACGCGAGCTCAAGGAACTCAGAAGTGCAAACAAGACGGACCTGAGGAGACATGAGAACGGCAGCCGGTGTCGCGCTGTCCATATGGATTGTCGTTGCGTACGCGCAGAATCCAAGTACGTGCCATGCTTTTTCTTTCTTCTTTTTCTTTAGAACCTTAAACTTAGTTTATGAGGGCTTATTTAATCAATTACATAGCTCGTAGAATGTGAATAGGGGACCCGACGCTTTGGTCCCCCGAGGGGCTTGGGGAGTCGCATTGCGGATGCGCAGAACTTGAGAACCTGTGACCTGTGGCAGTGCGACACCCCGAGCTCCTCGGTAGCACTAGGGCGCCCTACTCTAGATGTATCCAATAGAGAGTTTTAGAATAAGGGGCGCCAACACTTTGGGTCACAGAAGCAGATTAGGGCTCGGTACTGCCCATGCGAAAATGGTCTGCTGCCAGCGCTCTCTGCAACACTAACCGCACGAGGGTCCCCAAGCGTTGCGGCCTCCTATTCTAAAACGCCTTATGTGCTGAGAAACTGAGAGAAAGAAGGAGACGAGAGTGCGTAGCGGCGTCGAAACGCCAAACTCTGGTTGGAATGATTGGTGGGTAGACCTCAAGTTAACTCCCTTTGTTTCCAGTGGGCTCGTCGAACGCGTTCGAATGCCAGAGCCCAACGTCGGACTCTGGCGTCCCGGATTCTAACGCGTTCGATGAGTGCTGTGGAGACAAAGGCAGTTAGATTTTGGTTTACCCACTAATTATTCCAACCAGTGCTCGGCGTTTTCATGTCTCCGCGCACTCTCGTCTCCTACCCTCCCTCAGATTCTCTGCGCATAACAAGCTATAAAATGCGGTTAGTTTTGAAAATGTATTCTGAGCAGGTAGGATGAGCATGACTTTTCGCTAACACGGAGTGTGTGCAGATTGTACTTTTAAGGAACCCCTGAAAATAAAAAAAAAGTTCTCTTTAGACACTTTAATTGGGATACGCGTGCCAAAAATACATTTTAGACGCAAAAAAAAATTTAGAGCAATATTGATGGCGTGAAATTTATTTCACATTCTGCGCGCAAAATTCATGCCTGATGTCACCGAAATGGTAATTCACTATCTCCACCTCAACGTGATGGCCAAGTCGATCCACCTCTCCTCCATGCGCCCGAAATGCCGAGAAAGAAAACATGTGGAAAGGAGGCGACTGACGACATAATCGCCCTTTTAATTTGTTTACACGCGTGTTATAACCAGACTTTTTTTTTTAAAAAAACTTTATCTTTATTTTTCAGGGCCCTTAAAGTAAAACCTGTTTCTTTTTTTTGTTGTTGTTTTTGTTGTTTTCTTGATGTTCTTTACGGAGAAAGGGGGGGAGGGCTACCTTTTTCTAGACGCGTTTGTAATATTGTATTAATTAATTAACTATGTGCAATGCGAGAAAGCAGGCTTTCAGGCATTTGAAAACGTGCCTGACAGTCTAAAACTCTAGTGCGTCGAAAAGCTTTCAAGTTCGCTTTCCTGCCACAAGGAGCGAGAGAAACGTCAAGCTCTGTATCCCGGCGAACATTACATTATTTAGGTCTAATCTGTTCTGAGATTCGTCGTTTGCTGGGATCCTTCTATTGTTCGTGGTGACTGGCTCTCTGCTTGTCTGCAGAAAAATGAGCTTACAGCCTAGAGTGTACCAACTCCGTCATTTCTACAGCTCAGTCATGCGCTTCGTTGCTCGCCCGCCTTTTGTTTCAGAGAGCTGCGGCCGTCCGCGCATCCAGCCTGTCTTGGAGGATGAAGACCGCGTGCTCGGCGGCACCGAGGCAGTTCCGGGCAGCTGGCCGTGGCACGCGGGCATCTACACGAACCAACTCTACCCGGCCCACATCTGCTCGGGCGTTCTCATATCGGAGCGCCACGTCCTGACCGCCGTGCACTGCCTCACGTACGTATGAAAAGATCGCACATTTATGCGTAGAAATCAGATTTCTTCATCAAGAAGAGTGTACCGGATGTTTCTGCGAATGCTTTCGGAAATTTCTAAAACTAGGGTGGTTCAGAAAAAGAGGAACTCTTTTCGGGAACAGACTGTCATGCGCGGCGGACGGCGGGGAAGGGAAAAACATACGAATTAGCAAAATAATTACCTAAAATCGACTGAATACTTCAGTAAAAATACTAAATACTTTATAATGACAATGTTTTTGTTATTACAAAAGAAGTGCTTTTAATCAGGAACTCGCTGAGCGCCATGGAAACCCCTAAAGATATTATTCTAAGACGACTTAAATTATGTGGGGAGCGCGTGGGTGTGCTAAGGTCACCATTCGCGCAACAGGTGCAAGGCCGGAGATGCGGACACGCGAATAAGAATATCACCCGCGTTTTCGTATAGTCGGCCTTGAGCCTGATGCATGAGTGGTGACTTCAACGCACCACCGTACTTCCAACATGCTTCAATTCGTTTTAAAATGAATTTAAGAGTATTCCATGACGCTTATCAAGATTATAATGGAAAATCGAAAAAAGGAAAACTAGGCAACTCAGGGGTATTTTTGTAATAATTCATTTTTTTTTCTTTCTTGCAATCCTTTTTGTCCGTTGTGGCTGGCAGTCTTTTCCCGCAAAGAGTTTCATTTCATTTTCATTAACCCTAGATTTAGGAATTTTTGAAAGTATCCTTAGAAACGCCGGTTGAGAAGTCGAGAAGGGTAATCATACTTAGTTGCATTCATAAAATGAAACTGATATCTTAAACAATGAAGACAGAGCGGCAGGACTCTTCTAAAATGCAACCAAGGAATTGTAATTGCACTCAGCTGTGAAGTATAAACTCGAAACAAATTATTGGGCGTCTGCATAACCTCGACTATGAAAGACTGTTTTACGATAATCTATAAAGACGGTGAATCCAACAGGCCGTCCAAGCCAACTCAGGAGTCAGTACCCAGTGAAAAGTGTAACTAGAGACACGCTCCATGCGTGGGACTAGCTCAGAAAGACTGTGTCAAAGAACCGGTCATTTAGTAGCGTTTTACTACTCTTGTTTAATACCCAGTCACACTGGCACACTTAACCGTAGGTAGGTGTGTCTGAGGTCATACTCAACTGCAGTTAAGGGCGCCCGTGTAATTAGGGTACAGTTGACAGTAACTACCGACCATACGTAAGCGTAACTGCGGTTTATGATGCCCGTCGGATACCCTTATCTGGAGTTGAGTCTGACGTTAGATACACTTAACAGCAGTATCTAACGTTCTATCTGACCTTATATAGAGGGTATTAAACGTTTAACTAGAGCCATTCTATATTTGACTACGCTTGACAAAAACATTTGACTAGGGTCGTTTTACGTTTGACTACATTAGACCAGAACTTCGACTAGAAGCATTCTACGTTTGAGTACCTTTGAATAAGACATACAACTAGAGTTACTTTACGTTTGATTATGCTTGACTAAAACATTTGACTGGACTCATTCTACGTTTGACTACATTGTGAGTACGTATGTCGCGTTGCGAGTGCGAGTTACCGGAATATCTGTGCTTCGTATATTACGTGTCAACCTATGGAAGAGTAGGTTTCCACGCGGCTTGTGAAAAACGATTGTCCCAGTGTGGTCGTGATGTAGCACAAATTAGTGAAATGTGATCAAACTCGACTGTGGGAACAAGCCTCCAAGTAAAGCAACCATTATACCTGTAGTTTTTGCCCAAACGTTTTCCCAGGCTTCACTATCGCGTTGTGCTATCGGTCTCTCCGCGTTCGTGTAGTTACGATAAAAGGTCAAAGCTGACTATTGAATGAGTTGGTGCTGAATCTTTAAAATCATGGTCACGCTCACAGACACGGAAAAGAGGGAAGAACACCGACAAGACCAATGAGAAGGACAAAAGGCAAGACGCGAACATGAGAAAAGTCTCGTTCACCCCTCTTGCCCGTGTCTATAAGCGCGACCATAATTTTGAAGAATATGTCCCGAACACGATGTATTTACTTGTAAAGCTTTTTTTTTCTGCAATACGGACATGAATCATTTTCAGAAATCTCAAGGTAGGATACATGGCTTGCATTGACGTCACATCATGAGCCATTTTGGTGGTCTAGCTGCTGAGCGCGCATCTTCTCCAACATGGGTGTTTCATCATCAAATTTGTTTTTACAGCGGAGCTTTTAAGGGCTAGGTTTCCCAGGATCGTGTCCGGCATGTCGACACAAACCTACCTGGACAGCTACCGCCATCGACGGCGGAAAGCACACAGCCAGTCTAGTTGCCGCCGTCGCTCGTAGATGGCGGCGACCTTTCCAGCTATCATAGAAGAATGGATAGTTGGGCGCGTTGGTGGGAATTCATCGTAGGAAACAGCGCGAAAAACAGATTATGACAAAGAAGAAGCACACGTAACAAGCGCAGCGCTGGTCACGTGTGTTTCTTCGTCCCCGTCTGTTTTGCGCCCTACGCTCTTATCAGTTTAGGTTTGAACTTAGGATGGCTCAGCCGTGCGCCCTTTCGGGGAAATAAGACTGGCTGCTGAAGGAGTGGCGACGTACGCAGCAGCGCGAATGGGTGCGTAACCTCCGCAAAGCTGCTGTCACCTCGACTTCCACTGCGTCGAGCGCTTCAGACTCCCTTGCCAAAGAAGAGCACATCGCTCGCCTGGAAAGCTTCCACCGAGAACAGAACCAGCGATGTAAAGGGTGTCGGCGGGCCAACGCCACAGACGACGATCGTGCCACGGAGGCCAAGCGCAAGCGCGAAGCCCGGCGACGACTGCACTCCATGCCGGCTGAACAGTTCCCGGGCGCGACGGCGAGGTTCCGTAGGGAGTTCGTGGATTACCCGTTTGGCGTCATGTGCGCCATGTGCGACCGACTCTGGTTCGCCGGAGACGTATCCACGATCGGCGGCGTGTCGGACGAGAAGAAGCGGGAAACGGGCGCGTGCGCGTTGCGGCGGCGTATCGAGTACAGCTCCGCTGGTCTTCCTTCTTGACGAGAGTGGAAAGGCTGAACGTTTTCTTATAAAGAACAAGTAGGAACGACCACCGACACGGTGTGATGGAGTCGCGTTTCTGAGCGAGATAGTCCCATCTCTCTTCCGAGCCTAAATTTGTATGGCAAATCTTGTGCCCGCAATGCACTATTGAACACGTCCGCCGCACTTTCCCGAAATTTTATATCAAATCGAAATTGCCCAATTTCGATTCTTAACGTGTGTAGACAAGCCGCCGAGTGCTTCTCTGATACGCCTACATAATGTATACTAAGAAAAAAACATTAGTCACTGACAGTTTAAGAAGCGCAGGGCGTGGCTTATGTTCCCACTCCTTGCCTCATGATTGGTTTTTCGGCGTTCTTTTCGGCGAATGCCATTACCTCATTGGCTGCGACGCCATAATGAGATGCTCGGAACTCAACATTCCCCTGCGTCTCTAAGCTGTCAGTTACAGTAACGCCATATTATTATCCGTATTATTAATTTAAAAAAAAGACAGAAGCTGCAACTCGAGCACTGATTTCACGCTAGCTATACAATTCTGTCAAAAAACACACCAGTTCTTTGTTTTAATGATATCTTTAATTTTTCATACACACCCTCTAATAAATCTGTAGTATTCACTTTCCCGCAAAGCACTTCGGAGGGCCAATCGCTCCAATGTACGGAAAAAACTCGGTCTGTGAAAACGCAGAAAAAAAATTTTAAAACTAAAAAGCATAACATTTTGCGTGAGGCATGACTGTGAAACGTCACTCAGCATGACGTTTCACCGTGCTCAGTAGTTCATCGCAAACTTTTTTGTCTTAAATTTTTTTTTTTTTTTTTTTTAGGTTTGTCATTTGCCGAGATCCCCCAGTAGAGTGGATTGGCGCTCGCAGGCGCTTTCCGGAAAAGTTGAGTCTCCAGACATTATAGAGTGGATGCGAGATGTGCCCCCAATTATAAAACCAGCTGAAAGACTCATTATAATTGTAGCTGTACTAATCCACCCAATAAGCGAGCTTTCATCCATTTGTCAAATTTACTCGTGAAAAGACGAATGAGTCAAAGCATTGTGAAGAAATTAAATGACAGTGTAAACTTACTTCTTTATCTTCAGGAGGAAAACAGCGAAGATGATTCGAGTTCACCTGGGAGCCCACCTGTTGAATCGAGACGACACGGGCGAGGTGTCATACGAGGTGAAAGAAATCTGCCACCACCGTAACTACACACCTCCCCACACGGTAATGAACCGCTTAAATTCGCTCAAATGTTGCACGCGAAAACATCACTAAAAAAGTCATGCAAACAAAGAGGGTTACATTTGACAAGGATTGTGAGAATTACTAAGTGATCAGCGGAGTTGGTTGCTTCTGTAAACTTTAAGGTCAAATTTTGAACAATAAGGTTTTGGCGAGCCAATCAGCTCAAGGAGAATGTGGTTGCTGTTTTTAGAATCCGATTTCCTGTAGCAAAAGTTTTAACGCGGTTTTATACGACGGCTTTTATATACAACCAAAGAGTGTGTATTTGTTTAACGGAATAAAATACAGGCAAGCGAATATACCCCGAGGAATTGTGCCTAATCACCTAGACAACCTTCTGCTATGGGAGAAGAAAGGCGATCCGGAGCTTTTTGCTCTTACCAACTGACCTCAAAAAGTTTACTATTCAACAAATAAGCCGAAACCTTCACGGTTAGACTCCTCCTGCTTTTGTAACTACTGGCAAGATGTATTATTAATTCGGATAATCAACAAGCTTCCCCAATGGCTACAATTGGCGCAAAATCATGGTCGCTTATTAAATTCTGCTCAGTTAAACACGAACTATGGTCTTTCTGGATCTGGTTATAAAGGAACGCCCGATACTTTAGTAGGCAAATTCTCTTATGCATTGCATTCAAAGCAGTGTTGTACACGTTCCATCTAAGCAGAAGCGTGAGCTCATTTCTCGGTACTCCTCGATTGTGGAACGAGTTCCCGTTACATGTTGCAGTGGTTCGAAAGCAACGCACTTCCTTTACTGTTCTAAGAGTGGAACGTGCCGTTACATTAACGTTACGTTTGCGCACCTTAATCGAATTTCGTGGTAGATAATCCGTAGATAAAATAAAGCAAGCGAGTGAAAATATCTACCGTATTTTCCGGGCTATAGTCCGCGGACTATACATGTTTAAAAGTTGAAATTTCTGGCTGTGCGGACTATCTACGCGTGCGGACTATACAGGAATTATGTTTTTCAATATCGTTTATTATGACGAGACGGGACGGATTTTGTGAATAAAAGAGTATTTTATTGATAATTTATGTATATTATAGGCTTTTTTTGTGAACTAAGAAAACATACATATGCCAAGGTGTGCCGCGTATGCGAAGAATTTCAGGTGCGGACTATGCACTGGGTGCGGACTATGCAGCGGGTGCGGACTATCTAAGCAAAACCTTTCATTTTTGACCCCAAATTTGCCTTTGCGGACTATACACCGGGTGCGGACTATAGTCCGGAAAATACGGTACAGTAAAATTATACAATCTCCTTTGTTCCAGTTCTTTGCTTTCGACGATCTCTTGGATACTTCCTCGTCCCTTGAAGTTCGGGGCTGAAATAGTCAATATTAAAAAGCCTAAATATTTAGTAAACTTGGACAAAATTTCAAATGTATAGACAGAAAGAAAAAAAGAAGGAACATTGTTCCTCCCGCCATTCCCTCGAAACCTTTTTAGGAGGAACATTGTTCCTCCTAAAAAGAACCCGTTCTGGCAACGTAGTCCTTTGAAACGCGGTTCCGTACAACGCTGATAGAAATATACCCTCAGTCAGCCGATACTTGATGCGGATGGGGCAATGTATGGCTTACACGTGCATGTAGCTTTGGTGAGCTTTGCTGAGCTCTGATGGCTGTCAGGTTGCATTGAGGTAAACAGTTCAAGCTACGCCATCTAAACTAACAAAACATTTTTTTTTTTCAGATTAACGGGGCCATACATAAAGACATACGAAACACGTTTAATCTATCCGACAGTTTTTTTCTTCTTTTATTTTTTCTCAAACTGACACGTTTACCGAATTATGGCCATGTGGAACGTCGTGTTGAGTGTCAAAGCGAAAATCATATTTTTGTTTCGAACGTCATCGCCGTTTTTTGAATAGTCAGGTTCTTTCCGCAGAGCAGAATAATCTGCCCGAACAAGCATGATTTCCAGATAAAGCAGGCGCGAAGCTATTTTCAAACACCATCCAAGTTATGGTAAAATAGGATAAGAATAGACTAATCAACTTTAATATAGCTTTGAACGCTGTGATCGTTTCTGGCATCCTGTTGCAAGCTCGTGTGCTGCGTGGTATTTCACAATTTACTATACTGGATAAAAAAATTTACTGGTTCTTACCGGGGCATTATAAATATTGTGATGCTATCAAATTGAGGATCTCTTTATGTCTGATTTAAATTTTAGAACGATCTCATCATTATCACCTTGAAAGAAGAAGTGAATTTCACGGACACCATATCACCGGTGTGTTTGCCTAAAAGTATGGAAGAAGCCGCTCCGAACTCATCCGCCTTTGTCACTGGATGGGGAAGGTTCGAAGGTAAGTAAGTCATCATGCCCTTTCATGTGCTAATGTGTTCTATTACGAGTACATTCAAAACGCACAATTGACATGGTTATTTGTTCGAGTTCTTTGGGCAACATTTGCCAGGTAGCACAATTGTTTTTGTTTTTTTACCAAAAACAATTAAGTTGTCGTTAAAAAGGTCTTCAAAAAGCCCGAAAAAGTCAAGTAGAGCCAAATGTGACCTTCTTTGGCCAGATTCTGGGTGTCCTGGCTCAAATTCGCCAAGCAAGTGACAAAATTAGGTTTCCCTGTTGGTAGTTTCACTATCGTTTAGCAACCTTGGGTCTACATTGCAAAACGTACAGAGTTAGGCTCCGCTTCTAGTTCCTCGATTTCCATGTAGAAACTTTGGGCATAAATTTCCAGACAAGCGCCAGGTTTAAGCTTCACCGTTGGTTCATCGGTTCATTCGTAACAGCGTTGGCTCAAGTCTGGCAATTTATGCCAGACTTGCCATTTATACCAGCAGCAGAGAAAACATAGAAAAGCCAAGAAGCGTACCCTGGCACTAACTAGTCCCTTGGACCAGAACCAGATTAGGCCAAAGTAGGCCTCTATGATTGCCAAGCTTGTGCCAAGTTAGATCATTTTTATGGCGTGCAAGATGGTTTAACATATGTTCAGGCTTGAAGTGTCGTATTTCATTGATGAAGTGCGTGCGTCTGCTTTTCCACAAAGTACAAGGGTGGTTCAAGGTTGACCGGGACCTTTTTTCATATGGAATAGAATAGCAGAACAAGTAGCAAAATGAAACTTACGGAGGACGTTAACGTAATCCTTATGAATATAGAGAATTTAGCACAATTGTTTGACGAATTCGCAGCAGTTGCAGCTCTCATCGCAGAGAGGAACGTATCCGTAGCTGTAGACCAGGGGTGCATAACCAAATTTCTGGCGAAGGAAAAAGTTAAAGAAGCTGAACTTTTGAGAAGATTGCAAGAACAGCTAAGTAAGCGATGCTACTGAAAAAAATGTACGAATGGTACAAACTTTATTTTAGGGACGACAGCCGGTGACGGATGAAGCACACGGACACGTTTATCCGACTGCAGTGAAGCACTTAATTTCTTTACGGTGAAAACAAAACAGGGGGGCGCCAAAACAAATGGCACTGGCGCCTGGACGCCTGCAGGGAATAATTTGAAAAGCTTATATAGTTTCGTGCTTGACAAAATGTCCATTTCCCCTGTAGGAATAAATGTCCCGGTCAACCTTGGACTACACTTGTACACGAATGGGCAGTCATAGAAACTTAACAATAGGACGGGCGACTGTCTAGTGACAGCTGGCTACCAAATGTACATTGCAGCTACTCTTATTTACCCTTGGGCGCAACTACTTGTCTCAATATATCTGTGAACAAGACCCGGTTTGCAAGATTGTTCGAATCACCACAGGGTTATTTTTTTTTCAAGCAAGCAGTATTGGTTGTTTTATCACAGATTTTCTTGATTCTAATCAATTTAAGTACTGTTTGTACGTTTTGCCAAAGGAAATAAGGGGGGAGCTGAGCACTTATTATGAATATTTTTTTCTGACTTACCCTTGGTAATGCATGTTTAACATGGAACACTACGAAGGACGGAAAATAAGTATGGAATGAGCTAATCAGTCAGATAGTGATTTTTACTAAAACTCTTTGACATAATGCGCAATATGTGCCTCCCTCAAATTCAGCCAACTCAGACACACTGTCGCCGCACCTGAAGCAAGCCCGCACAAAAACGATGTCACATGAGACCTGCAACGGCGAGGAGTATGACGCTAGGGTGCCGCAGAGCATCCTTTGTGCAGACCACGACTCCGGATCATCCTGCAAGGTGGGCATTCTCGTGCTGCTGCTGTTTTATTAGGGAGTTTTAGAATAGCGCACGCTAAAGCTTTGCGCACGCAAAGAATAGCGTCGACGCCACTGCGCATGCTCCGAACGCAAACCAGGTTTTGCGCTTTGCGTGCGCAATTTTAGCGTGCGCTATTTCTCGGAAAAGCGTGCGTACGCAAAGAGCCTTTGCGCTTCTCCAAGGAGGATTGATGATGAGAAGTTGGCTAAAGCCAAGACGAGCAGAGTTAAGCAAAAATGGCGACATCCAGGATTATGTCGACAACTGCTGAGGCAGCGTCGTGAGTGCGCCGTCGGCGGCATCCTCGCGACTGGGATTTTCAATACGAGACGAAATTGTACTCGGTTTGGCAACGATCAGCGGCAACTTGTTGCTTGTGACGCGCGAACACTTCTCGGCGAAGGTACGATGTGCGAAGGTCAGTACACGAGACCTCTCTTGCCGAGGCGACGCAAGCGGGCACGACCGGTCAACCGCTCGCGTCGCATTCTCGTGTTTAAACAAATCTAAAATCGTACTCTGGACCAAAAAACTTGTTTCTCTCTAAAGTTACAGCATTTCGTGTGCGAAATAAAAATTGTGACTGTATCTTGGTGGCGTCGCAAGCGCGAGATGCTTGGGCTTTTGCGTCGCGACGGAGAAACGCTATTCTAAAACACTCTCGCGTCGCGGGCGCTAATACAAGCGCTAAATTTAGCGCTAGCGTGCGCTAAAATTGCGTACGTTATTCTAAAACTCTCTATTAATTGAAAAACCAACCGTCCCGCGAAATGCTAACACTTAAGGCGAAAGAATGCGTAGTATTCTACCTGGGTGATGTCTTATTTTGGGGGTACATGACATGATACTAATGATTTTATGCGCGTTCCAATACACGTAGAAAATGTTGGTATTATAAAGTAGAGCCATTGCCAGGTAATAACATGTTCCAGTAATAATTTCTCCACTGCACTTTCAAGGACTAGAAAAACCTACTCTTTGAAATAGCAAAATCTTCACCAGGGGTGGCTAAGCCGTGGCTCGCGAGCCTCATGCGAATTTTCGGGGGCCGAAGTGCGGCTCACGGATTCCTGGTAAACCAAACTCCCACCCCCCCTTTCCCATTCGTAAGATGAAAAGAGGAAAATACATAGAGAAAATAGAGAAGCCTGCACTTCGTCAGCTTCGTGCCATCATACGCACATCGAACAAGGACATTGATTTACGAATGGGGACGCACAATACAATAACTTAAAAGTAATCGTTTTCTGAGTGGAACTTGGCTTGACTCCAAACTGAGGAGGAAAGAAAATGTAAAAATCGGCAATCTCCCCCCCCCCCTTTTTTTTATATCGGCTCTTTACTTAATATAGGTTTGTTTTTATGGGTCTTCGAACGTCTCGCCGGCCACTTTTGATCTAGACCTTTCATCTAATACCTGAATTGTGTAAGAAAATACTTCGACGTTAACTGAAGATCAACTTGAATGTCGTTTGGTTTGTATTTTAATTTTTTCAACATGTGTCTCTGCTTACATTCTTAGAGCGCACCCCTTAGGCGCCCCTTTCTGGGTTGAGCGTGGTCGGCGTCGGCGTAACCGCGCATTGCATAATTGACGTCACACGTGACGTCACGTGTGACGTCTCATGAGGTTAAAACTTCCCCGTTAAAATTTTGCGGGAAATTTTTCCGCTAAATATAGCGGAAAGATTTAACCCTCGCGACGTAACATAAGACATCCTGTGTGATGTCACGTGTGACGTGAGTGGCTTTGGTCAATTTCCCTGCTAAATTTAGCAGGAATATTTTTCCGCTAAATTTAGAGCAAAACTTTCCCTGCTAAATTTAGAGGGGAAATTGACGTCGCGTGACCTCAACACGAATGCAGTTTCCCGCTAAATTTAGCGAGAAATTTGTAATAAATTTTCACGCTAAATTTTGCGGGGAAATATTTTGATAAATTTCCCGCCAGATTTAGCCGGGAAATGTTGGTAAATTTTCCGCTAAATCTAGCTTGAAATTTTTGCTTAGTTTAACGGGAAATAGCGCGAAAATTTCCCGTAAAATGGGAAGGAGGGTATAGAGGGGAGGGGGCATACCCTTCCCTCTATTTCCTCTCCTCCTCCTCCTCTTCCAGAGCTGCGTTCTGATTCGGCAGGACAGAGAATTGTAAACGTCTTTCATTTTTTTTTTTTTTTTTACATATGTCCTATTACAATTTAGTTCCCTAGCCATTTCGACCATGTGTTTGTTTGTGTATTGCTATTTATGTACCATTCCTACAACGGTCCTGAACAAGATCCTGTTGTATAAATAAATAAATAAAATACGTGCGCTCCACATTCCCCAGTGTTTTTACGAAATTCATTTGTAATTTTTCAGCATGTTTGAATGCTAAAAGAGTTTTAACCTATGCCATATCTTCTTGGGGCAAACAAGCGAGTGATAGAGCCCCGAATTTGTTTATGTGTTTGTTTTGTTATTTTGGGGCTAGGTAGGCCGGAATCTTATCCCGGCTTATCCAACCCCAAGATGCAGCAACAAAAGGAGCACCTCGCCGTAAAGACAGCAGTGGGAGAGGGGGAAATGGGAAAGGTGGCGTGCATTTTCCTAATCTGCGGAAAAACGTTTTGTAAGTCGGGCTTTAAGCAGTAGGGTCGTTCTTTCAGGGTGAAAACTGAGAGTTCAGAAATAATGAACTATGTTTTTACTCACTCATTTTGAGCATGATGGTTTTAACTGGAGCGCTATAGTGAACCAGCTAGTGCTATACTTGTTTCACAGTATTTTCAAGCACAGTACTGCCTTTTCTTTTAATTTCAGGGTGATAGCGGAGGACCCCTGGTGTTAAAATCTGGAGACACTTGGTTCCTTCATGGAGTCGTCTCCGGGGGGCCGATGGAATGTGGAAACAGGGAGGATCCGCTGCTCTTTACCAAGGTTTCCCATTTCCTGGACGACTTCATTACGGCATATATAAAGGCCATAAACCCGGAAGAGAAACATCGGCTGTGCAAGATCATGTAGTTTCCGCATTACATGTAAATAAAAATTTGAGAGCAAAGTCTATAATGCACACCTATCCGCATTTTCAGTTTCCTGCGTACAGCGTATTGTATGTGTGCAATTTGACATCGACATTTATTACACGAGTCTGTTAATACAAAGAAAGCTGAAGGAGCTTGTTACGATGTCCACTATTCAAGACTTTCTTCGCAACTTTGCAGCAAAAATAAAGTATTGTATACGGCTAAAGATAATAAAGAAGCACATAACCAGGTAAGCAAGTTACTCCAAAATTTTAATTGTATTCAGTACAAGCGATTATTAGTAAAGCCACACCAAACTTAGTTTTACACATTGTGATAAATGATGCGCACGGCAATCTTTCCTCAAATGTCGCTCAGGTAGCTGCATCATTGAGAAGAATGTGTCAGTCTGACGAGGTTCTTTATTATAGTAAATTTGACCAAAGGTAAAAACACGAAACAGGACGAAATACAGACACAAAATTTTCAACAGGTAATTACAAAAATATTGATGGCCAAGATATTTACTAATGCCCGCGATAATAAGACAGACCTAAAAAACGAAGAAAGCAAGGAAATTAAAAAAAAAAACTTTTTGTCCGTAGTTGGAAAACCGGTGCGTGTCAGCCTTTCCATCCAATTGCGAGTTTTGGCGATTTCCCCTTTACTACCCCCCTTACGCACCCCCTTTATTCCTGTTCTTACCACGTCACGTCTTGGTCATTGCCAGGGATATGCAAAATTAAGTTTCTTAAGAAATTGTGGGACTTATATATCTCTACTTGTTCATCTAATTTATGGTTTCTATATTTGTAAATTAAAATGCTTTTGACTTATACGAATGAGACCGAATTTACTATTTTAATTTCGTGGTTGACTGCTGCGGAAACAGTAGCGATTGCTAATCTGCCTTCGAAAACAGTTCTATTCATTGCTTTCCGTACGTAGGATACCGAAAAACCCACCAATATCTTCCCTACTCCACCGCCAAAAACCATCCATAAATATCTTCTGACCAACCCTGGAATATCTTATCTGCTTTAACAATACCTTCTCTATTCCATCAAAAAAAGCACAGGCACCAAAGCAGGGGACAAATGCATTTTTTCACGAGTACGCGCACAATAAACAAATTTCAAAGCTACAAGATCATCTTTCATAACGTTGCAGAAAATTGCTATCACAAAGTATCATTTACTAACATTTTTAAACCTGGAGAGTTTCTCCACTTTTTAGAGTTAAAAATGGCAATTCTTAGCCAGATCACCTGCACCCTTGTATTAACTTTATCATATAGTAATTGGTATATATCTAATTAAGGGAAGGGGATCTAAAAACAGCTGAGAACCATCACCGAACGTTCAAGACATCGTTTTCAGGAACGACGGAACGCTATTCTGGCATAATTCATTGAATTATATTCCTAACCAGCGTGTTAGTGTAAGTATACTATTACCAAAAAGAATAAAACAGAAAGTGTACGAGACACAGACGTGTCACGTCCTCTTCCTTTGCCCGTCTGTCTTTTCCCTTTTCTGTTTTTTTTTTATATTGTTTATTATTATTTCTGCTAAAAATGTATTAAAACCTCGCATGTTTTTGTGTTTTTTTTTTCATTGGGGAAATGAATTGCTACAAGACACTAACTGCTGCCAGTTTCAACAACGCACTCATAACAGCGAAAATTATAACGCCACGTGTTCAAATAACCAAAAACATATCACATTTATTCGGAGTCCTGGTGGATTTTTTTTTAATTCTTTATCAGTGTAATTGGCATGCAAAAAAAGTCTGGTTATCAGCTCGACACGAAGCCCTGTTTATTGTTCATCATCGGCCGTGCAAACCGGTTCGTAATACGTTATCAACTTGTAACCAGTGGAGCACAGAAGGTCGAAGATAAAGTCGCAACACGGTGCCGGATTCTTCGAAGGGCTCTCGCGCACCCAGAGTTCGCAGGCCTTGAAAGTACCTGCAATAGCAATAATGAATCCAGGGATACATAAAACCAGCAAGGAAGTGGATTTGTCAAAGGCACGCTTGTCGACACAACCCTATGCAGCTGTTGCGCCGAATCCCGGGCAAAAGCTCACCGGAGAAAAGCTCACCGGACAGAAGCTCACCGGACAAAAGCTCACCGGACAAAAGCTCGCCCATTTTTAACAGACCCGGACAAAAGCTCACCAGGAGAAAATTTCATGTTGGTCTTATAGAAAAACGAAGTTTAGAGAAAAAGGCGATGAGCCTCCTTTTGGGGAATTCGGCCACCGCGAAGCGGCGTGTACGAATAAGTCAGGTGAGTTAAATTTTTGTAGTGAGCCGCCGCAGACTGCCGCCGCAAAGCAGCGGGAGCGCAGAGGGGGCTTGGGTTAACACGCGCACCAGTGATACACGCGCGAAGTAGAAACGCCTTTTTTGAATAGCGTCCCCTTTTCGATAAACGGCATATCTCTAAACTGAGGCTCTGCTTTCTCTAAAACGTGCTTCAATAAAACGTGCTCGTTCTCTAAAACATGTTTCGACAAAATGGCATTCGATCAACCGTAGTAAACCTTTGTGTGGGATGGGGTACAAGTTCACCTAAAAATGGTGCAATGTCCATCGTGCCCGCATTTTATTTCAGCCCGTGTTTCGCCCGGGTAGCGAAAAAAAAATGAGGTGAGCTTTTGTCCGGGTCAGTGAAAAAACGGGTGAGCTTTTGTCCGGCGAGCTTTTGTCCGGTGAGCTTCTGTCCGGTGAGCTTTTGTCCGGTTACCGTTGCGCCATGACACATAGAGGGACAATACTTTTTCCAATAAACCAAAGAAAAACCTAACTATTTTTTTAAGGGGCCGTGTCACGATTCTTGCTGCTCATAGGTCACGCTAATTTTCTTTTCTCCAACCAATAAATGTTTTTTAAAAAAATATTAGAGCAAACGAAGCAGTGTATTGCCTTATCTCGGGCGCTGAATAAGCGGCCACGTGATCAAGTGCCGACTGTATGACATCAGTGTTTATCGCAGCAATGGTCTGAGGTTAGCTTATGTCAATGGATCTTGGGAATGTAACCCCAAGCTCCCCGTATGGTTACCCCCTTTGCTTCTTGAAAAGAGCAGTGTTTACTTGACCACGGCCGGACTGGAAGCGCGCTCTCTCTTTCTCTTCTTACGGTCTTTGCAATCGCCCGGGAGTCAATGGCATTTTTTCTCCGTATGAAGTTCACTTGCTTGCCGCCAGGGGCGCAACCACCTCACCCCACTTCACCCAGTTGAAGCAGTCTTTGGACGACTACGGTCCATGTGTGGAGGGAATGGCATGCTTGATGCAAGGGCTGTCGTAGCAGCCCTTGATCACATTGTCAAAGAAAAGGCCCCTTCTAAGCAAATACAGATTCTGAGCAGTTGGCAGCGGCTGTGCCCGACTCGGTTACCACTGACCTGAAAAAACAGAAAGAGCCTTGCACTCCATCTCTATCCGTGACATACTCTGGTCTGGTGTACGTCGGTGGCTATCTGGTGAAACTCATCAGTGAGTTTGGGTGCGACGCCTGTGTTATGCTGTAGACTACGAGTAACAGAGGTGGTCCTCTGTTCGTCTTATTGCAAGGTCAGGATAAAAGCGGACTTCATTATCCAAATCCTAGGTTCCTCGCACTTCTAGACAACATTGTTGCTTTTTTTTTTTTTAAGGCTATTAAGACTCCTTCCGCGTACAAATGTGCACGAAGTTCTGCAACCACTCATTGCACCCTATCTTGAAGATGCGCTAATCCTAAGTTGCCCAGAGGACATTGACAACAGTCACTCAAAGCGCTTGGCTGGTTTGATTTGCAACAAGTTCCTCATAATACTTCTGATTAAGCATGCAAAGACGGTCACGGACAGAAACAAAAAAATCAGCTGGATATGTGCACAAGCCCTCGCTCGGGAAGCACTTTAGGCTGTAATATGCACTGAGCGAAAATTGTGCAGATACACCCTCGTCTAAAGCAGCTGACCGACTTCATGTGCGGCCTATGAAATGATGATGCAGACCACGGCAATAGATAGATTGGGCCTGCTTACATTTCACGAGAGTGTAAGAATTACTTAGCATTTAAATTTCCTCCACGTAGAAGGGGTCCGTCTCTTGCTGTTTTAGATTGCAGAAGTCCTAGAGGTAAAGTCGAGTATAGTTTTTCCGCAATTCAATTCGCTGTCTCTACTTACTACTTTTAACTCCCGAATCTCTCGGAGATGTGCGTCAAATATTCACCGTTTTGGGCTCATCAGAAGCGCATTAGATAGTGGCTGAATGTCTCAACGTAGGGATAAGGTGTCAAAGGCTATAAAAATCTCGGCCGCAAGTTGCGACAGCGCTGGGATACACTGTGAGACGCGCTCTGTGCAAACGGCAAAGGGCAGCCCAGGAGTGAAGTGACAGCGCCCCCCGCGAATTGCGGCGGGAGGTGGCGATTGCCACAATTGCAAAGGCCGTAAGAAGAGAAAGAGAGCGCGCGCTTCCAGTCCGGCCGTGACTTGACCTCTTCACTCTTGGTGCGCCGAGTCAAATTCCCGGTGAACAGTTGCTTTATGAAAACATTTCCTGGATTCCGAGATTTTTTTATCCACATACGGGCGAAACAAGCGCACATGTTCGCATGCCACCCCATGCGGCGTCGGTACATGGAGGCATTGAAGAACATTTTTACTGTTTTTAAGAACGGAAGAACAACAATACCATTGTAAGAGACCTGCGGAGATAAGCATGATTGATAAGTTTATTGTATGCACAGTGCCAAAGACGCATATCTTGGCCGAGGAACGTTTTCAGTACGATGATTCTCCATATTGGTCTTGGCGCGACTGGTTCAGAACGACTCTTTTGAAGCTTCGAAAATTTGAATGAACCGAGTTGGCGATTTCTATGGCAACTGAGATCGATGAGCCAATCAACTGAGATTGATGAGTCAATCATCCTGCGAGGTTCGGTCGTCTCTATTTTAGAATCTGTTTCTGTCCGGCTAACAGGCAGGGAAGGTAATGGCGCTGCTTTCGCAAGATCCACTTACCTTAGGGTTGGTAATGCACGGGGAACTTGCTGACCTCCAAACATTTGTATAGAGTTCGACTATCCCTGTCTGCGATTGGACACTAGCCACCTGCTGAATACTCGAAGGGGCGTTTACTGTAACGAGCCCAAAACAAGTGCCCCGCAGTGCTCGTCTTTAAAGGGATACTGAACCAAAGAATTTAGAGTTCATAATAAATGGCGCACGTTCTATCTACGAGCCAACAGCCACCGGTGTGCGCGAGCACACGCAACAAAAATGACGTCAAAGGCCTCCATTCGAGCTTAAGAGGACAGTAAAATGCATGGGCCTCAGGCCAAAGGAGAATAAAGACAGGCTTTTCATCTCTACAAGTGAAGCTACGTGCTTGTTAGACCAATTAATCGCTTACCTTTTATACCAGACACCACTGAGTAGATGAAAAACTTGTCTTTATTCTCCTTTGGCCCGAAGCCCATACATTTCACTGTCATTTTAACCGCGAATGGAGGTCTCTGACGTCATTTTTGTTGCGCGTGCTCGCGCACACCGGCGGCTGCTGGCTCGTGGAAAGAACGTGCGCCACTTATTATGGACACTAAATTCCTTGGTTCAGTATTCCTTTAATCTATCAGCCGCAATCAACTATCGTTACGATGTGGTAATCCCCGCGACTTTCATTAAGAACTGTGAAGGAAAGGTCGTAGAAATAAACTGCGTTTACCTTTGGAAGTACGCCACGACAAGGAAGCTTTTGAATCAGTGCTGTTGCGTGCGAGTACATCAGCCACACTAGTGTCCGCATGCATGTCTAAAATGCGAAACATTCCATCCTATAGTCTGTTGCAGGTTAAGAAATGTGCGAAGAGCTCCTCCCACAAAGCCCTTCACTCTTTCCACTTACTATCGAACGTTGCAGAGAAGAGAAAACCTCCAATCATAGCAGAGCTTTGTGTTTGTGTGTGTGTGCGTGTGTGTGCGCGCGCGTGTGTGCGTGTGTGCGTGCGCGTGTGTGTTTTGGGGGATTTTTTGTACTGCAACAAAAAATAGTATTGTAATACGGACTCTTTATTAGGCACGTAGTACACCGATAAATATTCACTAGATTCGGCAATCGAGTGATAATATTTGCCGAAAAGTATGTAGTAAGAAAGAGAGTTTCAATCAACGAGCTTTATAAGACAACCATTCGGGGGATCATAGAAAAACACTTCATATAAAACTTCCAGTTTTTCCACTCTGGTGAAGAAGAAAGACCAGCGAAGCGATACTATGGTGGGAATGAAGTAATGGCGGCCGCAAGTCGGCAAGCCAGAGTGGAAAGGTTGGAAATGTTGCCGCCGTCGCTCATAGATGGCGGTAGCTGTCCGGAGTTTTGTGTCGACATTTGTTTGCCCGCGGACACGATACTGGGGAAGCTAGCCTTTAACATTTCCGCTGTAGAAACAAACACTCAAGTGGCAACGAGAGGTAGAGTGCGAAGCAACCACCGGAAAGGCTGAAAAGTATGGAAGGAAGAAGTGTGTTTAGCAACTCGATTCTGAAATAATCGGAACAACCAAAAAGCCATTTTAAGAAGAAGAATGTGGTCAACAAATATGGAACGGTTCACAAAATAGTTATTTTGATTCAATAAAACACTATCTAATGTGTGTTCGAATGAATGACAATTTCATAGAAAGCTCTATACAACTATATAGAGAGCTAAATCAGGACTCACCATTACTGTTTCCGTCGTCTCGCAATATGGCACACTCCGGACCAGCATATGCGACTGCGTAAATATTGTTCCCCTCTAGATTCAAGGGAAAAAATACAGAAACGTTTCAGTGATGAGGGGATTTCATTCGCTCAGATAGAGTGGGGGTGATAATTTATTCTAGGGATGTCGCGAACCGCCCCAGGTTCGATTTCGAAAGGTTTCGATATTTGCGAAGCGAACTGAAGTTCGATTTCGAAAAATTTCGATATTTTCGTATTGACCGAGGTTCGAATTCGAAAAATTCGCAACTTTCGATCACAGTGAAGTTTCGAATTCGAAAAGTTCGAAACTTTCACGGTCTCTAAAATTTCGGATTCGAATATTTCGAATATTTTTTTACTTCAGGTTCGATAAATTCGAAGACTTCGAAATTCTTTGGAAATAAACTTCGAAAACTTCGAACGCTTCGAATTTTTATAGACATGAAGTTCGAACAATTCGAAGATTTCGAAATTCTTTCTGCATAAAGTTCGAAAAGTTCGAAGGTTTCGATTTTCTTTTAACGCTAAATTCGAAAAAAAAAATTTGTGAAGATTTTGAATTCCTTTCTAGTCCACGTTTTCAAAGTTCGAAGTCCAGTTTTCAAATTCCTCCACAGTTTGTTTCAAATAACGTTTTCACGACTTACTGGTTTCCACAAAATCAAGTTTAGAAAAGTTAGGGTGTGATATCTAGATTCTGCGAAGTTGGTCAGGCAATTAAATGAGACGACGAGTGTCCCGAATGTGCTGGAATATTTGCCACTGCAGAGTGACTTGTGACCATAGATCAGTAACTGGGACCGCCAGGCCGGGGGGGGGGGGGGGGGGGGAAGGGGGGGTTTAACCTGCATCACGCAGTAGTGATCACACGAACACACTGTTTTACGAGACTCGTCCAGTTCGAAAGGGCCAGGGGCGAGCAGGAGGTTGAGGCTCAGAAATACCTTGAAGCGACCTGGCAAACCACCTCGCCACCCCCTGCACGCTGCTAGTAATCCGATCGAACGCCGCCCGAGTGACGCTGGCATATAGTAAGTTAAGTTTGTAATTGTCCTGGAGGTTTATTTTCTGGGACGGAGGAATCGCCTCGCAAAAGCCGACACAACTCGAGGTTGAGGAGCGTTCTACCATACAAGTGGCGTCGGAAGAGGAAAAACGGGGGGAAAGAGGGTAGCGGGGGGGGGGGGGGGGGTCTTCAGTTCCCTTCCCCCCTTCCAGATATTTCGGACTGTTAAAGGAAACAATACGGGAAAGAGGGCGTGGTCGAGCTTATTTTAATCTGAAATTATTTATGCATATATATCGCTACTGTCGCTCTTCACTGCATAAAAGTTGCGTAGATGGTCATTGTTAGAAACTCGTTGTCAGAAGGCACTACTCGTCACATGCTTAGTGGTTCGGAAGTTCAAAGCTATGTCTTTTCGACCTAAATACTTGTGCCAATAATAATAATAAAAATAAAGCAAGAATAAAAAGCTGAAAAAAAAAACTATCAAGAATTCGCCGGAAGTGCTGTATTCTTGCATATTCAGAGGTTCAGAACTTCGAAACAAGTTTCTTTTACCAAAATGTGTACAGGCTAAAAGAAACACGTCCCAGGAACGTGAAGCGAAAAAAAAAAGTTTTCTTTTAACGACGTGCTGAACTTGAACACTCTTAGAAATCTTCTCAAATAAGTTAATTTATTCCTTAACGTGAAAAAACAATAAATACATTATTTTGTATTCTGCAGATGGCAATGATATGTACTGTATGTGGTGTTAATTTAAATGCGATACCTCAAACAACTTAGACAAAAATAGATATCAAGTTTAGGGCATAATTGCATGTAGATACATGTTTGGACATTTCTTCGAAACTCACGTTGAATAACAATAATCACATCTTAAGACGGCACTTACCTAGGCTATACATAGAGCATTCTTAAAAAAGTATAACATCTCTACCATAAATAGCTTCGGCTACAGCGCGCTTCAAATCTGGCACAAACGATAATCGTCAAAAACCCGTCGTCCTTCCTCGCTTCTTCGGGAATTTATTTCTTTAAAACTAAGCATGCCAGAACATTGAAACAAACGGCATTGTCTTTCGTAAGGAACGTAGCACCGCGTGTAAAAGTTAGAGAAAAAAATATTACGAATGTACCTCACTACTTGAATTCAAATGAAACCGTCCGCCGGTCATTCGAAGTTCGACGAACGTCGAACTTTTACCCTAAAAGTTCGAAGTTCGTCGAACTTCTGACTTTTCAGGATTCGAAAGTTCGAAGCTTTTCGAATTCTCTTGATAAATAAGTTCGAAAGTTCAAAATTCATCGATTTTTTTGGTCAGTCAAGTTCGGAAGTTCGACAAGCATCGAACTTTGAGGCGCAATAAGTTCGAAAGTTCGTAAAATATCGAATTTTTTAGCGTAATAATTTCGACGGTTCGAAAAACGTCGAACTTCTTAGCTTAACAAGTTCGAAAATTCGACTTCTGTCGAATTTTACGATGTAAACAATCGAAAAATCGAAATCTTTCGAACCTTTCGAACCGCTTGATTCGATCATCGAAACTTCGATTCGAAAAAAGTTCGCGGCATCCCTAATTTATTCCACTACCCTACAAGTCAGTTTATATTTTATTTTTGTCTCTAACTGCTACATGTGAATACAAATGCTCATCATACTAGCCCTACCTCTTAGACAATATGGTGCGCGACTATATTTATTCAGGTATTTATTTATTCAAAATACGTCAAAGGTATATTCTGCGTTATTTTTTAGGAAGCTGTAACATTCTATAAAAATTTAACAAAGTTGAATGGAATTAGTACGCGTCAACAAACATTTAAGAATAAGCATACATTCCACAACATATTGACATAGCAAATTTTTTATATAATAATATAATTCAAACGTTCAAAACAAATAGATATACACAAGCACATAGACATAAATTATGTTGAACTCTCAAATATTTTAGACTTCAAAACTTCGCTCACTAACAAATACATCGGTGGTCATTATGCAATGAAAATAGTTGCTTGGTCTGATTGGAAGTGATTGGGATCTGAAATAGGAAGAACAGCTTGGGAAAGAACGTTCCCAAATATTGCATAAAGTGCATTTCTGTAGCAATTACTTATTGACAATGAGTTGAATTGAAGTGATGATACCGCTCATCACGCACTATAAATTTAAATAAAAATCACAAGAGTTTAACTATTTTTTGTTCCAAAAAAAGGAAGAGCAATTTCGGAACATGCTTTGTTCATCGACAATGGAATGACAAAAAAAAACGAATTGTAAGAACACGAGTAAATGACTTACCCCTTGGAACTGTTGATATAAGAATATTTTTTGTGGTGTAACCCTCCGAGCTGATAGCGCGATACACCTTTGTCAAGCTCATGCTGAAAATAAATTAAAGTTAAACAATTAATTGTCCAAATCAATCTGAGTTTAAACAAGCTGAGTGTTTTCATAAACAGCATTTGGAGATGTTCCTTCGATGTAGTTGCGGCGTGGATGATACTAGAACTGTTTAAAATTTATATCAAGAATCTCACGCAAATGCAAATCTAAAAAACACGACCAGCGATAGATCAACTTCTCAGTTCGTAAGCTGGCACTACAGGTTTCATACTTGTTAGGCAATTCGATAACTGCTTATTTGCTTGTTTGTAAGAGAAGAAATATTGACCGCCACGTCAGTGACACTTTTTATTAATTGCTTGTAATAAAATACACTTCCTCCACATGCAAATACAAACAGCATGTTGTAATGAAGGATAAAGTGTGAAGTTATGTGATGTGCAAGGTGTCTCGCGCCGAAAATGACAGGCTCTTTTTCACCGTAAATATAAACTACGCGCCGCCGAACGCTTATTCTTTGTCAAAATGTAGCACCAGCCGTGAGATTCAGATTCCAAAGTTTCAGAACTAACATCTTATTCAAAACTTATTTATGGTTTTCTAAAAACTTTTAGTACAAAAATGACAACTGTCGGAGCTCTCAAATACATGGGGCTGAGTGGCGCCAGTACATGGGGTTGAATAACGCCGTTATTTGGCGGTCGCCAAATAATGGCGCCAACCCGACCGCTAATGTTGCTCACTGGAATTCTGAAAAGGGCGTATTGCTTACGTATACCGAAACTGCTTTCGACGGCCGCAACATGTTTCCGTCTCGCTTTTACAACATGCGTTTGCATAGAGTTATGCTCGCATCAAACGTGTTCTTCAACAAAAGTTTCCAGCATTTACGGTTATCTGCAGAGCGAGCTTTCGCTCCACTTCCTCCGAGCTGCGGAGTACGGCCGGGGTTGTATGCGCTCACGTTTTCTCGGCGGTCCTGTCGTAATACGTGACGTTATGAGCGACTTCTTGATTTGGTTCGTTCATGGCGATTCTGTTCGCTCTGACGCAGCTCATGTCAGGTCCAAGTCGACTGCTCTTAAAGTTGGTGTAGGCGAGGTAGAGAGAACCCTCTTTTGTCATAAACTGCGAGGGAAAGAGAACAAGTGCTGTCTTACTCCAAGTCTATAGGTTACGAAGTCAACTAACGATGATTAATCTTTCGTAAACAGTTCGGCGCCTATGAATTAACAGCCATATAGGTCTCCCATTTTTTTCTAATCGAGATATTCAGAGAAGTAAGAATTGACAATTTTAAAACGTGTCTAATTTGATTACGACTGCATAATTTGCACTATCATGAAAATAATTTATGGTCACTCAAATGCGTCAGTGGTTCATTAAAATAACTGGTATAATTTTAACACCAGTTATTAACATAACAGGTGTTAACCACAAAGGCAATGTGTTGGAACACGGATAAGTGTATATCTTGCCTGTTGGCTGTCATTATAATTTTCTTTAAAAAAGAAAATTAATTATCATGGGTCTTGCTGTGTGACTGCAGTTTAAAGTCCCCCAACTCGTACACCAAACGAAGGACACGGCGTCCGGTGCAGGCACGATGGCAGATTTATCTGTGGACACGCATCAACCATATTCGAAACAAAGCTTCACACGTATGTTCGCTTCAAACATACCCGCAGATAGTTCTTGTTTGAACAATCTGACATATGACAGTCACACAAAAAAAGAAACAAGCGTGAGGCGGTGTCGGCATGCTGTCTTTCACATCATGTATAAACAGCGTGAGCACACTTATTAAAGACAATGTTATTCCTCCACTCTTTTTGTTTCCAAAGCGTATCCATTATAAAAAACAAAAATTAAACAACAATTAAAAACTCACTTTCCAAGCGTCCTGGTAGAGTTGAAGCCAGGAGGCCGTCTCAGGATACTCGAATTTGAGCCTGGTCGGTGGAGTTGACGCCGAAATTTCGCCCATCACCGCAACGAAACTTACAAGGACGTTGACCGTGGAAAGCATATTAGAAAGTCGTGTGAAACAGCCTTTCAGGATGCATCGAGTCTGCCTCGTGAATTCAGCGTGGAGTCTTCGAATACGAGGGAGAAGATTTGGCAGGAAACGCGAGAGAACGAAAAAGGTCGACGCGATGACTTAAAAAAGAAAAAAAGTCAAAACGCCGGTCGTTGCTGCGAACGCCAAGGCAAAACCTAGGGACCGAGAGGCTTCCTGCGAGATACATGAATGTACCGGTTGAAGCAAAAGAAGCAGGCAGACGGATGCCTTACATACAAGGTGTTTCACAGCGATGCTCGGGCGTAAAAAGTTTCGTGTGAATAAACCGACTACTAGAGTGCAATAAAACGTTTTACAAAGGTGTGACAAATTTAATATTTTATGACTGTATGTTTCCGGGAAAAAAATTAAGCCTGATAAAAAAAAAACTGCGGTTTTATTTATATGAACGAAGAGAAAAAACGTCTGGTTGAACCTGCTACTCGCAGATGGTACCACGGACATGCTCGGATCTGCCGGATCTGCTTTCCGGCATTGATATAAAGAAACACTTTTACGTTTTTGCTTTATATGTTGTGCCATTTGTCATGGGTAGCAGCGTCAGTCAAAAGGTTTTCGCCGTTTACCTGCCCGTGCATAAAAAAAAAATTTTAGTTTTTTTTTTCTTGAAATTCGCTGATAAAATTTAGGCACGATGAATGCGCCACTTGATAACTCCTTTGTGAAAGTTTAATTTGCTCTCAATAATTATGCGTAATTATTTTACGTCCGAATAGCGTTTGAGAACACCCTATGTTCATAATTGTATCTTGAGACACCAGATGCGCCAGTTGTGAGACATGGTGGTGACTCGGGTGCGTGACAGCGCAGCTTTTACTGCATTGACGGGAAGCTACGCTCGTATTCACCTCAAGAGCCGTATAGTAAACTAAGCCCGTCTTCCTCGGAGGAATCATGGCCCTGATGAATCGCATGCGAAAGGAATTATCCGCCTTATATACTCCACAATTCAAAGACACTCATTGGCATCTGTACCACCTCCACAATTACGAAGATTACACGTACGTTGCTTTGTTCTCGTCAAAATTTCGCGGTGTGCAGAATGCATGTAAATTCAAGAAATGTATTTCCAGTAAAAATGCATTATTAGAGGCAATAAGTATTGCCTTTAATAATTTGTCGCTGAGTTTGTCGCTGAAACAGCCTGGCTAAAGTGGGTCTTAGATTGGCGAACACCATTCAAAGAGGTTGTTCTACTCACTTCACTTTATTCCACACCCTTTTTACACCCTTGAAATTTGGAGGGTGTTCAATGCCACTAAACCCTCTTGTACGATTGAAAAAGGTGTATTATATCGAAATTAGGGTGCTGAAAGGGTGCAAAACTCTGGGACACTCTTGTTACACTCTTAAGGGCGCAAAACCCATTTAGTGTGTACTGGACAAGCGTATTCTCATGACCCATTGAAAATTGGGCGAGTTGGTTATGCAGTTACGAAGAGGGAAACAACGCCAAAAGTACGGAGGACAAAGAACGAGGAACACACAGCGCTCGGTCTGTGTGTTCCTCGTTCTTTGTCCCCTCTACTTTTGGCGCTGTTTCCCTCTTCGTATTCTCATGAGCCGTGCGAGATCACCCAAGGTACTCAATGAACTCGACACTTCATTCGCCGATTCTATCGTCGGCACTATCCTTTTGATGTTTAGTGCGGAGAACTGGCGCAATTGGTACGGACAACCAGCAAACTCCTTATATTTTTCTTTATTAAGATAACGGTTGTTGTTGAAACTTTGGCACCTGGTTCGGACTGTTAATGCTACATTTGGGCAGATAATGAGCGTTTCGCAATGTGCACTTTATTTTTGCGATGAAAAAAACCTAAATAAAAACACTGTGAGCATTTTTTTGGAGGGGGGGGGGGGGGGGGGGCGGCAGGGCATTTTGTGCATGGGGTTAGCAGGTTACAAATACATTAAAAAATAGTCCTCTGTACAGCCGCAGTGCGACAAAACTTTTTTTTTTCCAAACAGCGATCGCGTGAGTGAGAAATTGCACTTCTTAAAACAACATGTACCCGAGCCCCTGCCTCTCGCAACAATGCACAGAACTGAGCAGTGGCGCCAACCGATCTTCAGAGCTCAGATACATTCAGGATTAAAAAAAGAAATGATTCCGGCGACGAATAATACAGGAAGCTCCCCCGACAAGGCTCGGTCGCAAGAGGAGAAATATAGGAGCGGCCCTCCAGCCGCCAAGCCCCGCAGCCTGGATCGCCAACCCTGATACTTCCGTTTTCTTTAGACGCAGACAAAGAACGCGCGTGTGCCAACCGGTTCGCCGACAAACTGTCAGGTGGTCTGCAACAAACTGGAATGCTCCTATGCGGAGCTCAAGTTCACCTGCTTTTTTTCCAGGGGTCGTGGTGACGTAAGACCATCAAGCTCTGATTGGCTCTGATCGGAAGGATAGTGGGTAGACCTCAAGGCAGCTTGCTTGAGGTCTAGCCACTATCCTACAATCAGCCAATCGGAGCTCGGCTTTCTGACATCACTACAGCACCTGCAAAAGAAACAGACGAACTTGCGCTCCGCATAGCCGGTTACGTACCAATCCGGCTGATGTGTCTATTTGGCCAAAGCCCCGATTCGGCTTAAAGTTTCGGTTTAGCGTTAGACTCGGCCTAACGCTCCAATTTGGCCGAAGACCCGATTTGGCTGAAAGTTGCAATTCGGCTTAACGTTCCCATTCAGTGGAGGCCCCAGTTCGGGTGATAACCCAGTTCGGTTGGAAGCTTTGATTCAACCCTGGAAGGGTAACAAAGTTAGACTGGCAACAACGATTGGCTCTTGCCTTGGGGAGACTAAATGTTTAATTCATTACGTTCCTGCATGGTAGTCGCACGTTTCTGACCGGCATTGCGCTAGTTGTCATTATTCAAGGTTAAATGGTTTATTAACCTGCCTACAGTATGATTCAGATGTCCAAAGTCCACGTCTTTTAGTGCTGGCCCCAATGAGCACCAAAGAAGGGAAGCCGCGATAGTTCCGCTTGTCCAACTGACATGAAGGAAAAAGAAGATGCGATAATCAGTTACATGAAAAAACATGGTAGCAGGGTTTCTCTTTGATCTGCTATTTTCAATGTCGCCATAAGGTACATCATTATAAAAAAAAAATCATCATTAGCCTTGCATGAAGTCATTCATCTCGATATTTTTTTTTACGTCTGTGACTTTATTTTTGGAACGGAAAAAGTTTTGCTATTAATTTTAAAGTCACTTTATATTAAAAAAAATATGTTCTTTAAATTGTTTTATACTACGACCCTAAACTGAAAAGCACACAAACGAAAATAAAGATTAAGCCGGATGGAGCCAACAGAAAAATGGGCAAAACCTATTCAAGACGATGGGAGCTTTGAACGCGGAACCTAGAGGGCATAAAAGAGGGGTGTCATCCCAAACCGGCTGAAGCCTCAATTCGGCTATTGCCTCAATTCGGCTCGAAGGTTCGATTCGGCTGCACGCTCCAGTTCGGCTACATCCTCAATTCGGCTCGAAATTTAAATTTCTCTGCATGGACGCTTCAGTTGGGCTAGTAGTTTCAATTCGGCTGCACGCTTCAGTTTGGCTAGATCTCCAGTTCAGCTACAAGTTTCGATTCGGCTCAACGAGGTAGAGGGGCTTAGAGTGATAAACCGGAAGTTCCGAAGTGGCACCCCCCCCCCCCCCCCCCCCCCCGGTTGCCGCCATGTTTTACGCAAATGTGACCACTCGTCACGTGACCTCACAAGAGCCGTGACGTCGCAGGTAAGATGTCAGCGCCCAGAGCTGGCGGATGCGAGTTTGTTCGGTGCGCGGCAGCCGTGATGTGCAGCGGCTTTCCGACGATTTCGGGCTTTTTCGTGCTCGCTGACGCAGGTATATTGTGAAAATATGAAGGAATGAGACTTTATACCCTGTTTGCGCAAGATCGCTCTGGATCATATGGATATTAACACCTGTGAGACAGCATCAGCCGTATCGCCGTACCGGTGCTCGGATTCCGGAACGTGTTCGAGGATCGATAGAACTTTGAGTGCTTTTAGCATG